TCAAAGAAGTCAAGTTCTGATTGGAAACCATTTGTTGTTTAATGATCCTGTCATCCCTCCCTGACAACAGACTGTAGACAAGAATCTGTTTCTTTAGATTATTTTAATCACCATCATAGAGAGATGAGAGAATCAGAGTTTAAATAATGTTTCAATAAACCAATGAGTTTTATGAGTTCCCCTTTGATGTCACTTCCTGTTTTCACTTTGGCTGATCCAAGTTCAAAAGAAAATATGCCAGTTATGTGACAAAATGGCTAAAACCATGTGGATTGTGCCAAGTTTTTTAAATATAAATATATTTTCTTGTATTTCATGGGTGTGCATGTCACAGGTACTTTAAGTCCAGTCTTAACAGCATTCTTAGTGATTCTTAGAAGTGTGATAAATACAGGCCCTGAATTATCCCTTTAACTATTCTAAGATTTAAAAACAGTAACTTGCTCAAACAGTTTTGTTGTTTTTGTTTTTTGAGAGAAAGTAATTTTCTGAAAGTTTGCTGCTGTTTGGTTTGTGATTTCTTTATGTGCTCAGTTTTTAACGAGCGTTGGAGTGGGTGCACACAGCCTAACCCTGGAACCTGTATGTTTCACCCACAGGTGGTGCAGGACGCTCTGGACCAGGCCAGCAAGGGCCGGACCTGCATCATCGTGGCGCACCGCCTCTCCACCATCCGGAACGCCGATCGCATTGCCGTCTTCCAGGGGGGCGTGGTGGTGGAGCAGGGCACGCACCAACAGCTGCTGGCTAAGAAGGGGGTGTACCACATGCTGGTCACCACCCAGCTGGGGTACAGGACAGACTGAGGACGCTGGGGGACAGCTTCACCTGTCCATCACTGAGGACAGGAAGAAACATCTGTGCCTTGCTGGTCTCGTCAGCTCCTGCTGCCGGGCCACAACCATCTAAAGTCCAGCTGCTGATTGGTCCGTCTCTGAGACAAGATGTCAGCTCTGAAAAGAAAAGCTGTGCGTTGAGTCGAGCACTTTCATACGATCCACTTGTCTTTTTTTTTTTAAGATTTAACCGCAGCACGGCAATCTTTACAAACTGGTTTCTTTCAAAGACGTCTTTTCTTGCCTCGAATGTTTTCTTCTGTTTGTCAAAGCAAAGTGAAGAGCTCAGGTTTTAAATAAAATAAAAACAAAAACAACCTGTTTACCTTGACACTGAGCTGAAATATTAAAAACTTGGAGGTCTCAGCAGGACTGTCTGCAGCCCAGAACATGGTCAGCTAAAAGCAACTTGTGTATTTTGACTGTTTTTCAGGGATTTATTTGTTTTTTCAATCATACAAGTGAAATGTTGTTACTGCATTTAAAGATTTGAGATAAAAAAAGCCTAAATTTTAAAGGTGCAGGCCCAGTCTGACTGCTGACCTCATGAACACAGATGTCAGGTGTGTCTTTGGAAGATGCAGCTACAAAAACGATGATGGATGAGTTCTCTTTGAATAAGAAGGAACTGTTGAGTGTTTCTTTGCTCCAAAGTAAAACCAGTGAATTCAAACAGCTCTGCTTCCTGAGCAAAGAGGAAACCATTCAGCTTTAATGTTTCACATGTATTTATGTCACACTCCACTTCCTGCCAGCAGATGAACACAAACTGTGTGTGAAGCAGCGTTTGGACCTGCTGGCTCTGCAGCAACACAAACACACAGCAGCTTCTAAAGCTAATAAACACTAAAACTGTTAATAAATGTGATTAAATAAATTTAATATAAATCTTTAATAAATGTTAGTTTTGCTTCATTGTTTATGTTTAGATGATAATAAATGTACTCTGATCTGCTCTGGAAGTATTAAGTACTTTTCTTACAGAACATTTCAGTATTTAATGTGCAAAACTACTGAAAATGTTTCAAAGTTTCTCCATCATTTTCAAACACTGCATATTAAAGGAGACATATCATGCTAAATGCACTTTTTTTGCATTTTTAAACTGTTTTTTGTGCAGTTATAGTGTCTAGGAGTGTAGAAAACATCAATTTATTCTGTTCTGTTACTG